TAATAATAATAATAATAATAATAATAATAATAATAATAATAATAATAATAATAATAATAATAATAATAATAATAATAATAATAATAATAATAATAATAATAATAATAATAATAATAATAATAATAATAATAATAATAATAATAATAATAATAAAAGTAATAATAACAGCAATAATAATCAGCAATGGTAGTAATGATGATAATAAGAATAGTAATAGTAAGTAATATCATTACTAATATCGCTAATATTTATGATAGAGAAGCAAACTTCCAAATGAAAATAGTCACAGTAACAAAAAAGTAAATCTCATCTCCTTATCATGACTTATATCTTACCAAGTATCAATGGAATTATCATAAATTATACTATTTCAACAACCAATTACTGTTAAAAAAATTTCCAAAAAAAAAAAGTTGAAATTAGAACCAAACTTCGTATCATATTTGGTTTAATTCGATCTAATTCCTACAATTCTTCAATTTTAATCAATCAAGTTGACATTCAATTTCCCTGGAACTTGAGATGTCATGATGATAAAGGGTCAGGAAATTTTGTTGATAAAATGACTCCCTCCCTCCCCCTTCCTCTTATAACTATCAAATTTACATCTATGCTTTCCTTACAATTTTCATGTTTTCATCTGTTCCTTATCCAAATATTATGCAAATATAATAAAAGGTAATTTAGGGGGACTTTCCCTTATTTCTCCTCATTGTCACTTTAACTGAATCGAATATTATCATAAATTACCAATGATTTAATCAATCATAGTTCATCATCATCAGGTGTCACCTAATAATGACAATGTAAATCAGTAAAATGCTTTTCTGAATGCTTGGTTTACTTGAAATATCAAAATTGTCGAATGAAGTATTCCGCCTACATTTTCAAATTTGTTCCGCCGCTCATTTATCTGAATCTAATCGATGGTACTATCCGACGGAAAGCTATATTATCCCGTTATGAATATTTTGAATAATTGATTCCTTATCGTATACCTACCATACAATTAAATAATAATTTTCCACTAATAGATGCTATTCCGTCCGTAACATTTTAATAAAAATTCAAATTATGCACGAATCACGTGAATCTTATTTTTTTACTTTCTTATTTCATCCGTAACAATTCTATAACTTATAGTATTATTTGGATACGTATCATTTAAACGTTTCTTCTTACGTATAAAAACGTTGTATAATAGAAAAAACAAAAATAAACAAACAAAAAAGAAAAAGCCAAAACAATCTTACTCTTATATAATAACAAAAGCAAATTTCATCATATTTACAAATGATATCGTTAATGATGACAATGATAGCAATGATAATGATGATAACGATAACAGTAGTACATGTTGATAGTAATGATGATGAATGATAATGATAATAATTTGATGGATATATTATATCCTGAGTATTATATTCATACTTTTTATATGGTATCTATTTAATGAAACAAGAACTGACATTTAATTTAAATTTAAAAAAAATAAAATTTTTTTTTCTTTAAAAATTCATAAATCAAAAGTACCTATGTATTATTATGCTTATAAAATCTAAACAAAATCTTGAAAAAGAAGCATTTCGTCTTTTTTTTTTCATCAAATTTTCATTTCTCTTTTAACATTTTCAAATTTAGTAGTGATAACAGATCGATACATTCGATACTTTTCGATTAATTAAAAATGATACAAGTAATGGATTAAATTAATTCAAAATTTATATCCAATTAAATTTTGTTAAATTCATTTAGGAAGAAGAGTTAATATTCATAATATCACTTAATTTACTGTTATTTGTCAGGTATCTCATTAATTAAGATTAATTATCACATACATATATATATATTTTTTGCATTGTTATGATTATTTCATTTTGATCATTTCCAATCATTAATGTTTAGAAATTCACCGGCTCCTTTTTTTTTTCCTCCTTTTCATCTTCGATTACAAGATTTATGATGGATTATCAATTATCAATTATCAATTATCAACAAATTGTATCAATTATATTTTCAAAGAAATTTATTAATAACAAAAAAAAAAAAAACAAAAAAAAGAAAAAAAGTAAAAGTAAAGAA